CCAACTCAATTAGGGGCCAATTAGGCCCAAGTTTGGGCTGTGCTGGGCCAAGTGAAAGGTCCAAATAGTAACCCAACAAGTGGAACCATCATGGCATAATTTTTTAGACTATCAAACAGTGGTATCGCCAGACTAGGGGGTGGTACCACCCAGTGGCAGGGTGTCAGGCGGTGGTACTGCTAGATTGGGTGGTGGTACAGCCCAATATCAATGCTGCAGGTGGTGGTACCGCCCAACACCGGCGATGGTACCTCCAGGACCTGAAACCCAAGATGAGCCACTTTTAGGCTCTAAGTTTGAATCCACTTGAGGCATATAAATACCCCTCTCATCCCTGGTTAACACACACAAGCACAGAGAGCTTAAAAGTGGGAAAACTCTGTTGCAATCACTTGAGAGATCCCCTCCTCTAGTTCTAAGTTCAGAATTCTATTTAGGGAGGAGTGAGTGCTTGTAAAAGGTTGTCTCCTAAACCTGTGAAAAGGAGAAGAGGGGTGTAAAAGGGCAGTTAATCTTCGTCCGTTGAAAGAAGATCATTAGTGGATGCCGATGGCCTTAACGGAAGGGGAATCGGCAGAGTGGATGTAGGTCACGACGACCGAACCACTATAAAACGGTTTACATTTATATTTGAGTAATTTAGCTTTACTGCAAACTACTTTACTTGCCTACTGCTTTCACTACATATACGAACGAGACTTCAAGTTATCTTTTCGAGATTAGTTTTTATCGTATGAAGGATTTTCAAAACTAGTGATTTTATCCACTACACCAATTCACACACCCCACCCCCCCCCCTCTTAGTGCCGACTCAATCCTAATAGTCGGGAGTCCATTGGAACATTGCCGAAAGATCGTCGGAAGAAACCTAGACTAACCGAACTTGATTTGCTTAGTGTATGCCTTAAGAATTGTACTTAACACGTAATTGGGGGTTAGGTTTGGGAGGTAAATCCCACTAACTCAGTTAGGGGCCAACTTGGCTCATAATTGGATTAGTTTGAGCCGGATTCAAGGCCCAACCAAGTTGCTAGACCCTGTCTGGCGGTGGCACCGCTAGACTGGGGTGGTGGAACCACCCAGGGAATGATCCCCTAGGTGGTCTAGGCGATGGTACCATCAGTAGTTATTACATATCGCCAGAGCTTAGTATCCAAGACTCTATCAGGCGGTGGTACCGCCAGATTGAGCGGTGGTACCATCTAGTATCAAAATATCAGGCAGTGGTACTGCTCAGTACTAATGGTGGTACTGCCAGTACCTTAAAAATCCGGGATGAGATACTTTTTAGCTCCAATTTAGAAGCTATTGGGGCTTATAAATACCCCACCCTTTTCTGCATGAAAGTGTAACAAAGTGCAATCAAAGTGTGAAAAAAAACTATAAGTGTTGGGGTGTTAAAAGTGTTGTAAAAGTAAGAAGAATCCTCCTCCTCCCTCTCTTTAGCTTTGTAATCATCCAAGAAGAGATGTGAGGCTTGTAAGGGTTATCTCCTAAACCCGCGAAAAGGAGAAAGAGCTATAAAAAGGTAGTTGGTCTTCGCCTATTGAAGGAAGACCATTAGTGGATGCCGGTGACCTCAACGGAGGAGTATTCGAAAGTGGATATCATAATGACCGAACCACTATAAACTCTGGTGTGTTCATTCCTTACTGCTTAATCTCTTTACTACATTCAACTTTACTTCATTACAAACTGTCCAATCCCTTCTTCTCTACTCATTCAAGAAAAATGAAATAAACTTAAAAAGAATAAGCTACCAAAGAAAAAGAAAGCATTTAAGGTGACTTGGGACGAAATGAGTGCATCCGAAGATGAGGAGCAAACCGATGAAGACGAAGTGGCGAACTTCGCTTTGGTGACTCTCCGCAATGAGCTAAACAACTCAAACGAAACTCCTTTAATTTATTTTGAAATTACTTGATGATTTTCATTTGTTATTTTTAATTAGTTAGTAAAAAATAATATATATATATATATATAAATTATCATGTTTCTTTTTCTAGTGATTTTATAGAAAAATAAAAAATTTAAGCATGACAATTGCATGTTAATTCCTAGCACTAAGCATGAAAAGTTAGATTCATTTAAAAAGAAAAATACTTTATGTTTAATGAAATCATGCTTGATGTTTCAATGATATAATGAAGTAATAATATGTATCTTGATGATTTCCATATTGCTTTTTGATTTTGATTGAAAATACTTTTTTTCAACGAAACCATGCTTGATAATTTGAAATCATGCTTTATGAGTTTATAGTTTGAAATTATGCATGTTATACCTTGAAAACTTGAAACCATGTTTAGTGAAAAATTGGCCAACTATGAGTCATATGTAACTTCCGAGCCTTGCCTTCATGGAACACTAACCAACTCTCTAATGAATGATTGGAATGAGCTGGAGAAGAAGACTTTCGCTTTAAACGTCAAAGCTATGAATGTCTTGTTTTGTGCTTTAGATAAAAACGAGTTTAATCGTGTATCTATTTGTGAAATGACTTTTAATATTTGGCACACACTCAAAGTGACTCATGAAGGCACTAGTAGAGTGAAGGAGTCAAAAATTAATCTTTTAGTGCATACTTATCAATTGTTTCGAATGAAACCGAGTTAGACCATTGAAGACATGTACACCTGATTTATGGATGTCGTCAATGGTCTAAAAGGACTTGGTAAAAGTTTCTCGGATTTTGAACTTGTTAATAAAATTTTAAAATCTCTTTCAATGAGTTAGGACCCTAAAGTAACGGCCATTTAAGAGGCCAATGACTTAAATAACTTTCCTCTCGAAGAACTAATCGGGTCACTAATGACCTATGAGATGACTTGTAATACTCATGAAGAGCTTGAGAACAATCTTCCAAAGAACATAAAGGATATGACACTAAGAACTCAAGAAAACCACTTGAAAGAAAATTCAAGTGACGAGGACTTTGATGATGACTTGGCACTCTTGACAAGAAAGTTTAAAAAATTCATAAAAAGGAATAAATTTAAAAATGATACTAAAAGTAAATTTGAACTCAATAAAGATCAAGTAATATGCTACGAATACAAGAAGCCAGGACATTATAAGAACGAATATCCCTTAGCGAAAAAGAAGCAACCATAGAAGAAGAAGGCTCTTAAAGCAATATGGGATAACTCAAGTGCATCTGAATAAGATGAGCCAATCAACACCGGGCAAGTTGCTCACTATGCACTAATGGCTATTGGAGATGAGGTGACAAGTTTATTAGATGCAAATTTATCTTTCGTTGAGCTTTTAAGTGCTTTCCATGAATTGTTTGATTAATGTAGAACCTTGAGTAAAAAGTATAACTCTTTGAAAAAGGAGCATGCTATTAGGATTAAGAATGGCACTAAGAGGGGGGGGGGGTGAATTAGTGCAGCGGTAAAAATTATGTCGGTTCAAAACTTCATTGCGATTAAATCCGTTTTCGATGAAAATCTATTTTTTAAAGGCAATAACTTAAAAAGTGCACGGAAGAGCATAGTGGATATAAAGCAAGTAAAGTGATTTATAGTTAAAGTAAATTGCTCAAGAGAAACGCAAACCAAATTTTTATAGTGGTTTAATCATCATGACCTACATTCACTCCGCTGATTCCTCTTCCGTCGAGGCCATCGGCATCCACTATTGGTCTTCCTTCAATAGGCAAAGACCAATCACCTTTTACACCCCTCTTCTCCTTTTCACAGGTTTAGGAGACAACCATTTATAACCCTCTTTTATAAGGTATCTCTCTCACACCTCCCTTACAGCTCTCTCTAAGCTTTGAGAGGAGGGAATTAAAATTTCTAAGGTTTACAACTTTAGAATTATAGAGTTTTGCTCAATATTTATTGCTTATCTATGCAAGAATAGCTAAGGTATTTATAGGCCCCAAATGAATTCAAATTTGGAGCGCTAAATTCAAACCCCTAAAATTTCAAGATACGGACGGTACAACCTGAGGTGTCGAACATCAAGTTCTAATCTTATTAAGTCATTAATGGCATCGTTATTGTGATACTGAGCAGAAGAAAACAAGTAACAAAACTTTGAATTGTGATTATTTTTTTCTTTTTCTTTTTTCAGGAACAAGATCCTAACATCCGGTTGTATGATCTGGTCAGGTATAATATCAAAACATCCTTTAAAGCCAATATAAATGGGAATTACCTGTCCATCGAGTGCAGCGATAGCATCGTCCATCTCCGACTGTGATTTGTCATTCTAACGAAACCGAAACCACGAGAGCGTCCGGTCATACACCATCCTTTGCATCCAAAACTTTGCCCTCTTCACCGAAAGACCTGCGCCAAGCGGGCATCATCCGTTTCGCCAAGGCAAATTGCCAACGTAGATCCTAAAAGAGGGTTCAAAACCTCGCGGGCTTCTCTCCACAGGAGCTGCTTTATTTACAGTTACAAGCCTGCCGCTAATTGCAGCACAAAAATACTTCCAATAGAAGCACGCATCTCTAATTCCCACATCTAACAACACTAGTTTAAAACTCAAGGTGATGAATAACAAGTGCGGATGCTCAAACTCAAACTTCCTACATCATATCCACATTCACAGTGGATATTTATGGCTTACACAGCGGTGGAATATGTCTACGGCTTTCTCTGCTTCAACGGTGCTTCAATCAGTCTTGATAGACTAATTAGACTATCATATCTTGATAGACTATTCAAATACTCTCATTATAAAACAGTGATCGATAAAATAATGATTCAGTTACCCTATCGAAATGTTATGATGATCAATAATTATAGACTAATCAAACCCTTATAAGTTAAGTTACGATGATCAATAATTATATACTAATCAAACCCTTATAAGTTAATATCCAAATGTTACGGTGAAAGATGGGGCCGCTGATGCACCAACTAAGTTGAGCTAAGAAGCCTGCACACGAGAAAAGAGACCCAAGGATGGTGGCACGTGACATATTGAGCAACAAACAATGAAGTTTTTGAGTCAAATTCATTGCACGCACGAAGAGAACATTAGAACAACACGACTTTAGCATTTCGAAGTTGTTCGAGTACACATTCAGAAAAAGGAGACGAAACTGTTCTACACTATATCTACTAATTAGAAGCCAAAGTTTTGTCATGTGTTGGCCACAATTAGCAGCCAAAATTGTCGCATTTTGAGTGTTTCCTGTACGACATCAATGTATATAGAGCGTACAATAACTGGTACATGGCACATCAATGTATATAGAGCGTACAATAACTGGTACATGGCAAATTAACCTTCAGGAACATCTTATCCACTAGGATGCAAAAGATGCCACCATGACTACATTCTCTTCAATACTCTGAACTGGCACCTTGTCCACAATTAGCAGCCAAAATTGTTGCATTTTGAGTGTTTCCTGTACTACATCAATGTATATAGAGTGTACAATAACTGGTACATGGCACATTAACCTTCAGGGATATCTTATCCACTCGGATGCAAAAGATGCCACCATGACTATTCGAATGTTGCTGTAACTCCATCTTGTGAAGTGGCACCAGCCACCCGACTCGTACTCTAATCTGGCACCCGGATCAGAGCTCTTTGGATTTCACAACAGCTTGAACATGGAAATACAACCTCCACAATGTCACATTATCCTAGAAAACAGCAGTGAAACATTCATGGTGTGACTAAAAAACTTGAGTTTGTCAAAGCCAGAGAGCTGAGCCAACCTTACCAGCTCATCCAAATTAACAAAGACATCATCAGGAAAATCTGTTGCCGGAGAGTTCCTTTGCCGAAAGATATCTACCACACCACCAAGCGCCTCTCCTGGGAGCTTCTGGATCCGTCTACCAAGTTGCTGCTTCTCGGCATTGGTCATAGGTCTGCAAATTACTCGAGCCCAAGAATTACATAAAATGGCATCAGTATCTTTGGATTGCATATATCCTGTGTGCCAGAAAATTGACACCTATACTATATATTGTCTCAGCAGGCAGCCATCAACAACAAGAGCATTACACTTGGAAAATGAAGTCTTGTCACCCCAAATTCCCTCGTATAAGATCCAAACGTGATGGTTTTCACAAATATAGCGACAATACATCATAAGGCTATAAGATAAGAAATTATACTGATTGTGTACTAAATTTACTACATCATAAGTCGATATAAATAAGATGGAAGACCAACTTAGAGAAGCCCCAATTATCCAACTAGCAAATTACAGCACAAACTGCAAGTATAATATATTTTCCTGAGGAAAGGCTTCATTAAGAAAAAACTAAATATAGATTTTAAAATGGTGCTTTATAGAGACAAATATAATCTCAAGATAGAAAGAAAATATACTTTTTTGGACAAAGAAAGCAAACTTCACTTGTGATAAACAATACATTGCAAGAAAGCCAATTATGATTTACTTTATGCACCAGCCCTATATGCTTGAAATCTTAGGGCTCATTATTGTTGTTACCGTACACTTTATTACCTTCAACTACTGATAGTAAAGAAAACTACTCCACCAATCAAGGTATGATTTGACAAGTTAGTAAAAATTCAGAACTAAAAACCTACGTGACTTGGGCAAATTTGAAACATAACTGACATCAGAGGAGCAGAGACCTGACAATAGGTAAATTCTATAATTTACTGATGCTGTATTGACAGTTCTTCAAATCTTCAAAAATTTGAAGATTTACACTCCCAAAATTAAGCTTGTCAGCTACAAACACTGAGAAACCCAGATTAGGGTCACAAAGAACACGTATCAGGAAATTATTCCAACACAGTTTTGGTAATTGTAGAGCTTAAATATGTTCACAAATTGATCATCATACCTTATCATATTGGATCATAAATGACTTTTGATACTCTGATGATATTTCTGGGAAAAAAACTATAATATCTGCTTGCCAGTCATCTCATTACATATTGATGATTTTTTTTTAAAATTTAAGTGCCCTTAAAACACAAAAAATTTACAGATGTGTTCAAATGTGAGTGATTTGATAGATCTTTCCCTTCTATTTCCTACAAAACTCAGCATACCTCGATCTAGATGGATAATTAGGTATACTGGCACAAATTTTGGGTTCAAGAACTGAGACCAAGTTCCATGCTTCCATAAAAACTAAATTAAAAAAAAACAAAAATCAATTTCAATTAAAAGATTTTCCATTTCCCTTCCCAATTGTGGCCATAATGCATTCCTAAATCATGTGCCCAATCATTTAAGATTCTCATCTGCCAAAACATTACTAATCCCTTTAGCAAATAATCAGGGTCTTCATGGAAAAAAAAAATCATACTCCCAAGTTCATTATTGGTTTTTTAGATGAGTCAAGATAACTGGACCAAGAGAATGTCATTTCTAGATCAGAAACTTTGGTGCCATGTTGAATGTTACTGTAAAATTAAAAAAATTACAGTTTACACACTCGACTGTCAAGGTATTACATCGATGAGGTTATAATACTCTTCCACAATTTCAAGTTTTGATTTTATTCGTGTCCAGTAAGTTCTATGCAGCATATGCAGGTAGAGTCTTTAGAGAATTAATCTTTTAAATTAACCATGAGATCCAAATAGCCCATGCATCACGTACTAAAGATTTCATAAGAAAAAAAAAGAAGGTACTCTACAAAACATCATGTTTCGAGATCAAGAAATACTAAATAGAGTACCTGCATTTGGAGACAACCATATCCAGATATTCATCAATGTTCTCCTCCATTTCCATAAGCTGAAAAAACAAGAGATGTTCTTGCTCCAGTGTTAACATTTCAGAACACCAACCCTACTTTGAACTAACAGTATCGAGTATCCATTGGCAAAAAAATGTTATATTCTAGGGAATAAATTGAACTCAAAGGTAATTCTTTCAAGCCACCATACATATTAAGGAGAGCACCTTCTCATTTATCTTATCTGAGTACTTTTCCACAGCTTCCATACATATTGCACCATCTCCTTTAACAGCTTGAATTTCATTGTAGACCTAATGTAATCCAAAACCTAAATATTTAATGACCAATATATTAATGAAACTAGTACTAAATTAGAATGTCTTAATGTAATCAGTAGCAGAGCCAAGGTTGATATTCAGGGGCACAGAACTCAGAGACATTAATTGAGATGCAATTGAAAGAATAAGTTGAATCCCAACAAAAACATGTAAGGCAAAACCAAATTAGAATAAAGATAAAGTGAAAGCATTTGCATAGTCTCACTGTGCTTTGTGTGACCAGGAAAGACTTTCTTTAGTACACTTTATTTTAAATAGTTCCGTTGTTTGTTTTGTCTAGACAGTGATTTACAAAGGCGCTCGGGCGCTCGCCTAAGCACTCGGGCGAGGTGAGGCGAGGCCCGAGTGCCTCATTTAATGGCCTAGGCACTCGCCCGAGCCCAAGCGTCGAGCGCTTCAGGCGAGCACCCGGTTTAAACAAGGCGACCGAACCAGATTTTTAAGTCTGGTCAGTCGCATTTACGTTAGCTGGTTCGATTGAACCAACTATCGCATGCATATCAGCCTCACCCTCATCGCGACTTCCCCTAACCCTACGTGCAATTCCACCGTCAACATTTTCACTGCCTCTCTCCGCCCTTGCCTCTCTTTATTATCGTTGTCGCTGTCGTTGCCACTATCGCTACTCTCTGTTGCCACTACCATTGTCACTGCTCTCTGCTGCCGTTGCTCTCTGTCAATAGCCTCTTGCTCTCAATCAACAGCCTCGGTCTCCTCCTCAATCCTCACATCGGTCTCTACTCTTACTTCTCACATCGACTCAGTATACTATTAACAATATATTAACATTATACTATTAATATACTATTAACAATATTTTTTATTTATTAGATTAATAACATATTATTTTAATTTTAATACTGCTAATTTTTATTTATTTAAAATTATTGTTAGGGTTTCAGGATAAATAGTAAGTGTACAAAGCAACTCAATAGATTATTCAATGACATTAAAAAGGATCCTACATAAAAGTATAATTATCTAAAGAATCCTAAAGAACCTAATGCAGTTACTTACATCTTCTATGATAAGACTACTAGAGGTGATATTTTTCGTACAAAACATCTAGTAGGAAATTTCAAGAATGCAACAGCCTGCAAGAAGTATCCACCTGAGGTAAAAGAAGAGTTGTTGGCTTATATGAATAAAAAGAAGATGCAAAAGAATGCATCTTATGGGAATTACCAGAGGATAATTTTAAACATATCAGGGATGATGAAGAATAAAATTATTCTAAGTATCAACCCAAGTGGAAAAAAGGTACACAACAAAAAAGAAAAATAAGCTATGGTTACTAAAAAGGGTAAAAAGGGACAGATGGATTTATATATGTTATGGTTACTAAAAAGGATAAAAAGAGACCGATAGATCTATATATGTTTCAAGGATCACAGAAGTAACAAGGACAAGTAGGAAGCTCAAAATTAAGACAAAAAAATATAAGTGATGCTCGTGATAAAAAATAAGAGGAAGAACAATTCAGCACATTGCTCGCTTCTTCTATCATGTTGGTCTTCCCCTTAATACAACTCGTTTAAACAATTTTAAGGAGATGATTGAAACTATTGGAAGATATGATGAGAGATTAAAACCTTCAGGTTATTATGAGATGCGAGTTCCATTATTGAAAAAGAGTTAAAATATACAAATGACTTACTAAAAGGCCATAAAAAATCATGAGTAAAACATGGTTGCTCTATTATGTCAGATGCTTGGACCGATAAGAGACGCAAGAGTATAATTAATTTTATGGTTAATTATTCTTTAATGATCATATTTGTGAAGTTAATAGATGCTTTATCTTTTGTGAAATCTAGCGATAAGATATATGATTTGCTTGATAAATTCGTGGAAGAAATTGGTGATAAGCAAATGAGAAAAAGAAGCAAAAGGCAAGAGGACCACTGATATCATCTTAATGTCATCCTTTTGGAATCATATAATTTATATATTAAAGGTAATGGGCTCTCTTGTTCGAGTCTTTCGGTTGGTGGATAATGAAAATAAGCCAGCAATGGAATATATTTATGAGGTTATTGATAGAGCAAATGAGACGATTCAAATGTCCTTTAATGAAAATAAAAAAAAATATGAGAAAATTTTTACAATCATTGACGAAAGATGGAATTATCAATTTCGTCGTCCCTTACATGTAGTAGGATATTATTTGAACCCAGAATTCTTTTATAAGATCAAATATGTTGGGTTTGATGTAGAAGTCCTGAATGGATTATATTAGTGCATTATAAGATTAATTCCAACCCTTGAGGTACAAGATAAGATTATTTGTAAATTATCTCTATATAAAAATGTTGATGGTTATTTTGGAATTCCAATGGCATTTCGATCCGAGACAACTACATCCTCAGGTATTAATAATTTGATATAATTAATTTCATCTATAGTATGTTACTATGTTATTACTAATAATAACATAAATTTTGCAACTGAATGATAGAGTCTATTTGGAAATTCCACCCCGAACTTACAGTAATTTGTTATCAAATACTTAGTTTGGCATATAGTGCTACGGGTTGTGAGCGAAACTGGAGTGTCTTTGAACATGTAAGGATCATTGAATATTTTTGTTTCAATTAATTTATTTTTTTAGATAGATGTATTAATATATTTTTAAATTATATGGCACGACAGATTCACTTAAAGAGAATAAATCGGTTAGAACATCAATAATTACACGATCTTATTTATATCAAATATAATCAAACTTTGAATGCTCGTCATGATTTGCGAAATATAATTGATCCAATCGCATTACAATATATTGATGATTCAAATGAGTGATTGGTGAGAAAAATAGGTGCCAACTTATAAGTAGTGATTTAAAAAGCGTTAGGCGTCAAGATCCAAAAATACCCCAAGCGCTCGCCCGAGCGAAGCGAGGCACTAAAATATAAAAATATATAATATAATTAATAAATATAATTAATAAATATAATTATTCAAATAAAAAATATGCTATTAAATTAAGAAAATTGGGTACAAAATCATAATAAATAAATCATAATAGAATATTTTTTTATTTTTTAAATAAAAAATATACTATTAAATAAATAAAAAATTAATAATATTAAAATTAAAATAATATATTATTAATCTAATAAATAAAAATACAATTATTAGTATACAGTTAGCAATATACTATTAATATACTGTTAATAGTATATTGAGAAGATTGTGAGAAGACAGAGGTTGTCGAGGCAACAACAGCGATAGCAAGCAACAACCGTAGCTGGAGCGGCGAGTGGCGACCACAATGGGAGCGGCAACTGCGAGGGACAACGAGAGCGGCGACAGCAGCGACGAGCGACGACAGCAGTGGCGAGCAGCGATTGTGGCAACGGCAAGCAGTTGACGAGCAGCGATTGTGGTAGCAACGAGTAGCGACAATAGTGGCAGCAACAAGTAGCGACAGTGGTAGTGGCAACGACAGCGACAATAGAGAGCAGCGGCAACGGAGAAGAAATCTCGATAGTAAAATCGCTTGTTAGGGTTGGGGAAGTTGGGGAAATCGCGTGAGGGAGCTTGATATCGATGATTTAGTTGGTTCAATTGAACCAACTAAAGCACCGGAGACCAACCAGACCTAAAAATCTGGTTCGATCGCCTAGTTTAACCCAGGCGCTCGTACGAAGCGCCCGACGCCTAGGCTCGGGCGAGCGCCCAAGCGGCGCCTCGCGCCCGAGCCCAGGCGGCGCCTCTTTGAAGCGAGGCGCCTGGACATAAAGCGAGGCGCTCGAGCCTCGCCTCGCCTCACCCGAGCACCTAAGCGAGCGCCCGAGCGCCTATTGAAATCACTGCTTACAAGATGCCAAAAACGAGTTTGTATTTGAAGATAATAGATTGACATAGAGAGATGTGACAAGAGCTTCAGGTGCTGGAGAATTACAAATATATACAAGACAGATTACGAAAGGAAAAATGTGTGCAATAGCATCAAGCTCGGCTTCTACTATTGTTGAAGACAGAGAGAATGAAACATCTTTTGATGAGAAAGGACAAGAGGAAAAGGACGAACTTAATAAAGATGATTTGTTTAAAAATGATGATAATGTTGATTATGATGAATGACTTTGATGTAAAACTTTATTGTTTTGAATTTCGAGACTTTTGTTAAAGTGACATTGTGACTTTATACTTTAGATTTTCTTAATTTAATATCATATTTTATTTAAATAATTATTTATTAATTAGATTATATATTTATTATATTTTAATATTTTAGAGCATCTCGTTTCGTTATGACGAACGCCCAACACCTCGGGCGTTTTAGGACCTTAGCTCCTTTTAGTGCCTAGCACTTTTTAAATTACCGTCTAGTACAAATACTCAGCAATAAATTAGGTGAACCCATCACCCACTAGTCCACTTTTTAAAACCTCTATGCTCTAAGGAAAAAAACTCATTTTCATTTCCATGCTTGTAGAGGAATCCAATAGATTAAGGTTAATGTAAAGAAATATTCATAATTTCTATATATATCTAATAGTCTCAAAATTGATAATGTAAGCACACCAATCATATACCTATAATGGTAAGGAAGATCCAAACCAAAAGAAACACAATTTTCTACTTAAGCTTCTAATGCTATATAATGTTTATGGCCAAATATGTTCTTTATCTGATTGATATCTATGTTCACCTACACTACTAGGCTTAAGATGTTGAATTTTATTTCAACCAGTGATTTAAAAAGCATTAGACGCCAAAGTCTTAAAATGCCTGAGGTGCTAAGCACTCGTCCGAGCGAAGCGAAACGCTCTAAAATATTAAAATATAAAATTTATAAAATATAATTAATAAAAATAATTATATATAATAAAAATATAAATTTAAATTAAAAAGATCTAAAATACCAAGTCACATTATTCATCTTCAAATAACAAAAATATCAAAAGACTCAAAACAATAAAGTCTTGTATCAAATTCATTCATCATTAGAATCAACATCATCT